TCTGACAGAAACGATTCTTTTATAGTTTTCGCGAGACTATTAGGCGGGCACTCGTTAAGTTTTGCGTCAGAATTTATTTTCAAAAGATGAGATTATAATAGCAAAAGTAAACAGTGGGCAGATGTCTGATGACTGTTGTTGCCGGGCAGTATGGCTTAAACAGTTCTACAGTAGGCATAGACCATCCTATCATTGAAGAAATGACTTAAACAAGTTCAGCAAATAGTTTTTAGTAAGTATTCTTAAAAGACAAATTTACATGTCATTAATATTAATAAAAACAATCCACTTAGACAATGTCTCGAATCCATTCCTTTATATTTTGTACAATGATGTACTTATAGCAACATTCCCCTATTAAACTGTACACGTTATTAGTTTTTAATGTTGCTTCTTTTGTTTTTACAAGAACAAATACGTAAAAACGTTTAAATATTACGAATTATTCAGATATTAAAATAAAATTTAAAGTATTTAATTACTTTTTAAATTTTTGTTTTATACACTTCATTCTTCTAAAACATTCTTTGCTAATTGTAAGTATTAGTAATTATCTTAGCCTTCAAGATACCAGTTTTTACGCTAGTCAAGGTAAAAATTATGTTAAATTATTTTAATTAAAATGTCGTATTTTTACTTCATCGCTATCGTAATTATATTTTGATTAATATACTTGAAATACAAGGAAATTATTAAAAAATAACTGGAAATTACTTAAGCTGGTTACAACATACACTACACAAGGCCTTTCTTATAAATAATAATCGTATAATATTATGACTAACTTCATTAAAAATAAATTTCGATAGAAACTTAACGTTGTCACAATAAATATTTGCTCGTTATTGTATTAATAGTATTTTTTTTTTAAACAAGAATAAAGCAAATTTAGGGTTTACTGTCAATGACACAGAATAGATTAATTAAATACACTACACATATTTCCTAAATATTCTGTTATATGCATTAAAATACTGTGTTGTAACCTTATAGAAAATAGTGAATAAAATTACGTATTTATCCAAATGCTTATAATTTATACTTTGTTGCATATTTACTTGAGGTTATATACGAATCCAAGTGTAGATTTTTATCCAAGTGCTTATTAGTTTTATCTCTTATTTTAATAACGATAGCTTTATATATATTTATAGACGTAAGCAGCAAAATAGTCTAGAATGTCTAACTAAAATTACTTTATGTAATAAGTATCTACGTTAACTCTAGTTACGTTTTTGGCAGTTACAGTGTTAATAGGAGAACGTGGACAACAGATCCGAAGTATATTTCTACATCCCCATCTTTGTTATATTTTCTAATTAATTTGCTACATTTTCTATGGCAGTTATACGCGGATTCTCATCCTATTTTACAGTATTAATTATTACAAATAAAAATATGATAAACATTCTCTCCTGCCGGTTGCTTCTATCCAGCACTTTCCGTTTGTATCTAGTTTGACAACTTTCCTCTGCCTACTACTTTAGGGTATAGTTTCCATGACGACAGTCCGATATGTGTCTGGTTTTTTATAGGAAAAATTTAATAGTTTAATAACAAATTTTTAATCTTAATAAACAATTTATTTACGAAATTTTTTAATATACTTTTAACAGTTTATATTATTATAAGTAGCTATATGTATGAATAGTTTCGCTCAGTGTAGAAGCACGCTGATATTAATTCTGATAATACCTCACCCCGTGAGCAAGGAATATTTATATAGATGTAATTGAAGTGTATAGCATGACAGACATTTTACTTCCATTTTATTAAGAATTTAATGATTTTTTGTAAACATCTTTCCGGTTGTGACTTTATTTTTCAGGTCTTAGACGTATGCCCAATTTGCATAATTATTAAAACGGCATTACAAAGAAATTAGAAAAATAATTGGGCGCCATCCAAATTACTTTATATTAATTAATATCTATACTTATATCTGCATTTCTATATTTATTCATTGCAAACTTAACGAATAAACGAGAAGTTAATAATATTTAATACTATAAACTTTCTACAAAATTCCCTTTTGTATAATTAAGATGCTATACTAGCAATTAAATTAAATCGTTTTCGATGCATAATTGTAAGTGTTTACGCTCCGCACCCCAACCCCCAATTCAAGCCTTCATCCCGTATAAAATTCGTACTATTTCAATTTCTAATTGGTCAACGGTTAAATGGTCTTCGTTGTCTAAATATTTGAGTTTCCTCGATTGGTCTTTCCTTCTAGATTCTTCAATTAACGTTAAACAAGAAACACTAAATGCCTTATACCTTTTTTTCGTAGTCTTTTTAAAAACAGTTTTTAAATTATAAAAGAATCTAATTCGTGTTTTTTCTGTATAAAACCCGAAGCTCAATTTAAACCTCTATGTCCTAAGTTAAACAATAAAAATCTGATAGGTGACACCTCCTCGCAGGCTATAATGTCTTACACAATTCATGTAATCCGTAAACATTTTTGTCTATAGTCCTGTCCTAATAACATTCCTACTATTTTTTTAATAAAAAGCTAACACCTATTTCCTTCTCTGTATTTCTTCATTTATCTCCTTCAACTTGTAGTCTAGATTTATACCAACAGAATGGTCAATGTCCGTCGTTTCTATGTTACCTAATATAGAATAATCTTTCTTATTCTTATCTCTACCAAAGAAAAACTCATAAGAAGAATTTTGGTTATCGTCTAGTTTTATACTTGGCACAATTTTTCTACATTCAAATGTTTTTCTTTGTATAATTATATAATGTTACAACAATATTTAAATGCAGCTGTTGATCTAATACTCTGGAAGCAATCCAACTCTATCTGAAGCTAGATAAAATCAGCTGAATTTAATAAAATTTATTATATTTTTTTCTAAGGTAAATAATTTTTTGTAACATTAAAAGTTACACGATTATTTTCGAAAAAGGCTTTTTAAAACAGGAACAATACCCCGATGTTGGTAACGTGCAAGTAAAATATGACGTACTTCCTTTAATACAACGTACAGTAAATAACTTAGTGTACATTGCGTACAGGTAAAATAAAATTGTGTTATTTTAAAACAATTTCATTCATTTAGCTATTAATTTCACGTTTTAATTGTTACTTAACTCTAATTTTGACGGTATGAAAATGTATTTGTACAAGAATACCTTAGCGAAGATCAGAAAATATTATAAACAAGTTTTAAATTGAAGCCGTTTAGATAATATAAAATAATTAATAGATAAATTACATAAAGTAGTTCATTTATTTTAAAATTTTATGCTATGAAATCGTACATTTTCTGTATAAAAAAACAAACATACATCTGATTAGTGTCATGACAATTAATTATAGCTTAAAGCAGCGATCAGAGAAAGTTGTCAAACAAGATGCAAAAAAACTGCTGAACAGAAGTTACAAGGAATGAATCGCTTAAGGAGGAAAAGCTTATTTTTTTAATTGCAATAATTAATGCGGCCTTGAAGTTACAAGAGGGCTATAAATTGGCTAATCTCCCTCAGCATTTTATATAGATAGTATATCTAGTACGTGTTTTCACTTTCATCATGAGAATTTAGGCTACGATTTGACCCCCAATAACATTCGTCATCTGAAATGCTGGTAGAATTTCTCCCAATTTATGTCACGAAGAAAAAGTTTAATTTAATTGCACATGAATTATTTTCGGACAATTTTCTGATGATTGTCGAGAAAATTAACTACGTGTGCAATGTAAAATATCAAATACTCACTGTTCTTTCCCCATTCTTAATCGTCGTCACATATAAACGAATCGCCCCTCCCCATAAACTGCTCACGTTGTATTTAAATGGTCCCTTATAAAAAAAGTCCAGCAACGAGTTGTGTAACTTTCCCGGCAAAATTTAACACTATATGTGACACCATCTGTTATGATATTTTATTTAAAAGCTGTTGATATTTTTAATTATTATGAAATGGCAAAAAGGTTAATTTTGAAAGTAGGGATGGATTTTTATTTTAAAAAAATTGTAAATTCTAATTACGAGTAAAATCATAATTAAATCCGACCCTTCTCGAGTTATGACAATCGACCCCTTTTATCTTCTTACTCTCTCGACACTTATCCACAAAAATTTAATAGTATCAATACGTCTAATACACAAAATTACCTGAAAAAGTTCAAACATTTTTCGACGAAAATGCACAGGAGTTATTAAGCTTCAAAGAGAGTGAACATACCAAATACACACTAACATACAATCTCTTGTACCAAATACACACTAACATGCATAAATACAGAAAAAGGACAATCCGAAGTTGTTTTTGTATTTCTCGATGTCTCGGGGTTTCCTCAGTTAAAAAAAATGTAGAAATCTGGAGGAATCATTGTTTGACCGATTGCCGTACTTTCCCTTTGTTTTATATATAACAGAGGCGGAAAGTATAAAGTGACTTTTTGGTATCTTGAAACTGTTTTCTCAGTGGGCAGTAAGAGAGTTTCATCTTTTACTATAATTAGATCCGATTTCTTTAATGGAACACTGAAGGCAACACCGAGCGATCAATCGAAGGAGAGTGATTTTTTGGGGCGAAAAATGATCGATATTTGGAAATCAGATACGTTAAAATAACCAGTAAAACTTAAAACAGACTACCAAAGCTTGAGGCACAAACCTTGTACAAACAAAGCTTGAGATACATCAAGTAATAGTGTGCTGTGGTTTCATCCATTGGTGGGCCTAGTAAGTTCCACCAGTTCCATAATGGGGGGTCTGAGTGAGGAATGGGGACAAAACATACCCAAATTGAACATATATAGAATACTTTGATACTATGATACACATATATAGAATACCCGGAAAATTGCATTCTCAGATCCGATCCCTGTACCGCATCAAGGTAGGCTCGCTCATCTGTCCGGACTAAAAAGCCGAGATAATTAAAAATACACGTAAATATACTAATTAAAAAAATAAAAAATAGTGTCAAGTCAGAAATTAAAATAGTTTTAAAGAATTTTAAAATAAAAATTCCTTACCTTCCTATCGTTGCATATGTCATAAATATATAGACACTTGCAATTAGTTAAAAATTCACAACGCAATTTCTGAGTAGAATTTTCTAAAAACAATCGATAGGATATTTATCAGGAGTAACCAATCAGATTGAAAACATTTGCTATTTTTGAATATTAAACCAATCAGACTAATGGCGATTTTCCTTTTGTCTTATCTATTACGAAAATCGAACATTATTTCATTCGTAAATTTATGACGTATGAAAACAATTTAAATTTCTTAAAATATCATTTTATTGTCTCCATTTAGTTTTAATTCTAAGAAAACAAAAATTATATTGATTGTTTCTGAAAAATGTTTTAAACAAAGAGACATTTATCAGCATTTTAATCTATCTACTTGAAAAATTAAGCGTGTTGAAATACAACCTGTTTCCTATAAGTAATAGATATGTATATACCCATGGTGCGGTTTTCTTTATATTCCTTTTTAAAAAAATCAATTTTTCAAAAATATTTCCTCAAAATTGATGAAACTTCATGGGTTAATTGTACAGAAATAACCACCGTTTTTTTGCCTGGACCGCATTTAATCAGAGACAAAATCTTTTATTCGTATTCTTTATTTATTTATTTACTATACATTTCGGGTGCAATATTTTCGTGTAATTTGCACCCCTCTTCAGGTGTTTTTACATTTCTATAATTTGGTAAATTCAATTATTACAACGGTAAATTACTACAATAGTTATTTGGATATATTTATTCAATAGTTAACTAACCTGTTTTTAGTTTTAGATCGACATCTGCCCAGTGTTGATGTTATGTCCCCTAAGTCATTTTTAGACCGTTTCCCCCTCTTTTTATTTTCTTTCCCATTAGCTCCTCTCATTCCCCCCCCACACGTTGTTAACCTCCATTCCATCATTTAGGTTTATGGTTTTGCTTTTATTAATGATTTTGAAGTGCTCTTTGAATTTTCGTAGATAACTATCTTTTTCTTCATGGATAATTTTTATGCTTTTTTCGTTTATCGTGCATCCAAATTCCTTACAGTGATTTGTCCACGGTGACTGGTTATAATTAAGTCTAATTGCTGCTTTATGTTCTTTAACTCTGGTACCGAGTTGTCTTCCTGTTTCGCCAACGTATATTGCTGGGTTCTTGCATGTACTGTACATTTTATTTCATATATTACACCTGTTTAGTTTAGTATTTCGTTATCTTTAAACTTATTGGTGTTGATGTTGTTTTTAATTTTATTTTTTAATTTGGCTGCTAGTGTAACACTATGCTTACTGAAAACTTTTTTGGATTTTTCAAATATTCCCTTAAAATAGGGGAACGACGTATATGTAGTGTTCTTATTCTTATTTTTAAAAAATTTTTTATCGTCTTTGAATAAGAAATGTTTCTTTCACAAGAATTACAGTATTAAATACTGTATAAAATTACAGTACTGTATTAGACTTACGGTACCTAATTTACTGTACAGACGATAGTTCGCCTAAACTCTCCGTAGCGTAGCGCTAGACGGTGAAAAGCATATATATAATTATAATAAAGTTACAATAAATTAAGTTAATATATAATTATATATACAGTACCTAATTTATATATAATTATATGTACAGACAAAACTAAACTCAATTTACCCACCTAAACTGTCCGTAGAGTGGCGCTGGATGGTGGGAAAGTAGTTCGGCTGCCCGATGACGTTTTACATAATTATTGGAGTTTTTTACCGTTGTGTACGGATACCGCCACAATTTTTTCGCCGTCTTATAGGAATCGTAATTATAGAAACCAGCCTTATTGGGGGATCTACTGTATAATTAACTATACTAATAATCCATTATGTGAGAACCTGCATCTGGAGTGCAGTAAAAAGAAAAAAATTAAATATCAATATTATATTTAACATTAAATAAATGTAAAAGTTTTATATATAAAGATTAACTTATTTCGTTAAACCGTGAAAAGGCAAATAAAGGCAAATTTTTATCTTTCCATCTTTACATTTTCTCTGATGGAAAGGATGTTGAAGTTCTTTCCAGAATGACAGATAATCTAATATGATTTCATTAAAAGCCTGCCCGATTGGCTAGAATATATGTATAAGAAAAGCACAGTAACCTCTTTCAAGGCTGCTTTCAGGTCACCCTAAACAGCCATAGTTTAAATCATACTTGTCTGTGCGAGAAGTTACTCGAATTCCTTACCTGATGATAGAACACCGATCCAGCCTCCGAATTAAAGGTTCTCAACCTGACAATAATTTACTAATTTAGCAATGCAGTCGAACTCTTAATAAGTCGTAATACCTTGTATGATTAATTAATACTTACTCTCGTAATATCTATAATAATTATAAATAATTCTGTAGAATATTATGGAGTTAATATATAATTTCAATTTTGCTCATACAATATAACAAAAGCAACTATTGTTACATCTATCAAATAAGCTAATATGGAAGCTAAAACATTACGGATTTCCGGATAGCCTAAGTAGTAATACATCTGCACGGTAATTAAAAGGTGCCGGTTCGTTCCAACTCTACTTAAATTTTATATTACACAGTAGTTAACGTTAAATTAAATTATTCAAAGTACACGCAGCATGACATCATGAATGACTTCTTCATATAATGACAATGAAAATTTTAGGTAAATCCTTTAATTATTAACAGATGTCGAATTTGGTTTTAAATGGAAGTAGTAACAGTTTTGTAATTATTAGAAATAATCTGTTAATATTCTTTTTAAATTTTTACAGAATATTTTATTATTGTGTATCTAAGCAAAATCTTGCACAATATTTCTCTGTTTCCAAAGAATTTTTCATACAACGAATTAAGAAACAACAGAGTTAAATATTTATTTATATGAATTCTGTACCGTTCACGCAATAAATCTAAAACAATTTCCACACACTTTTATTTTTCTTATTTTATTTATTGATTTTCACATACACATTTTTATACAATCAATACAGATGATCAGATAACTACAAGTATACCAATAATAAAATTTTTCTCGATAAACGGTGCAGAAAAGTGATAGACGTGGACCGGGTAAAATAGATTGATGAAAAACGACACAACAACGAACTTTCCAATTCTGTGGTTGTGTCGCTTTCCAAGTAAAAACCCGCGATCCGAAACAAATATTTAATGCTTTTTATCCACTTGGTTGTGACCAAGTGGATAAAAAGCATTAAAGGCAATCAGTTACACGCAATCAGTAAAAGAAAATTCTTCTTTTTGGCCAAAAAAGATGAAACTCAACCACAGAAGCCACCGGTAAAACAATTGAGAAGCAGCTTCAAATTTTAAAACAGATTAACAAACATTTCTTTTCATTCATTCTTCTGGCCAAAAAAAAAAAAAATCATGTCCATCTGGTTTACCTTACTCAGCACCATCATAGAATGTCTAACAATAGTTTTCTATAACAAACAGACTTCGTATATATTTTTCAATATTTATGACATTACGTGTTATTTTTCACAATACTTAAAATATTTCATAGCAAATATAATGAAATCAAATTTCCCATGAATCAATAAGAATATTTTTAATACACTTAATCTCATTTTTCTCGAATCGAATAAGGTATTTTTTCAATAAACAAACAGAGTTGCAGTTTCGTTTCATTTACGGTTCAGTTGCGGAGATGTTTTTCAGATTCAAAAGCCCCGAATATATGGAATGAAGAGCATTGGCCATCTGCAAATAAAACTACTTATAAATAATTGAAACAATGAATAATCAATATAAAAATATACCTTTATTGGAAACTTTTGGGTTACGTAGAAATAGCCATCAAATGATATCCGGAGTGACACTTTTCCAAATCTCTTCATGAAATTTAGTATCTATGAAGTAATAAGTGGTAAAATGATTAATTATATACATAGATATTTTAAATTAATTGGCATAAATAATAATGCTTATATAATAATGTTTAGAATAAAAACTAAGTAATTAAATTTCGAATAATCTGCAATAATAAAATAATCAGTTGGTACTTTTCAGTTTTTTTTTTCATACAAACAAAACGAACTGCATAAAAAACAAAGAGAAATTTCATGAAAAATTAAACAAATTTAAACGAACATATATGAGTTCCGGAATTACTGAATAAATTTTTAACAAAATACGTTTCACTAATTCTTTACCAGTGGCCAAGTGAAGAAAACCACCGAACATTGGAAGTGGGTTTGTGGTTTCGCGGTTTCGAGTCGACCCAACGATCTCACCATGAGAATTTTTCCGGGTATTCGTCACGTTAGTAAGACTTCAATACGACCAGATATGCTTAAAAAAAACTCACGTTAAGCATTTCTGACAACGGAAAACAATTGCAATAAACTACATAAGTTATTCTCCTGTGTCCTGATTCGAAAACGCCGACCATAACCTGAATCTAAAGCCACAGAATATCACACAATAAACGTTATGGCCAACCTTTAGCTTTCGTTCAAGTGTTAAATCACACATCGAGAATCTTCGAATGTCTTGAAAAGACGTCTGCATCTGAAATATCGAAATTAAGTAATTACCATTTATTATCTTCATAAATAATTATTATTGTTGTAATTTTCTTACAGCTGATGTACAGGAAGATAACATGAAACCTATTAAAATGCAAAATATAGATGACACCATAGCGCAAAAATATATAGCCATCATTACATATAATTTTAAATTATAAAATATGCATACATAAAAAAGTAAATATGTTTCAAATAAAAGACAAAAATATATTAGATTGATCAGTGGATTAATCCATTTATTAAAGATTTTCAGGAATTCCCATAGATTTGCGTATCGCAGGATCAATTTTTCTAATTTCTTATTCAACTCCTTTTCGTACAATTTTAACAAATACAGTTCTTTGGATAATTGTATAAAACCTTTTTCTGCAATCAATAAAATGATGCAAAGCAAAAGAAATGTATGAGCCGTGTATCCAATAATAAATACGACGGTAAGCGTGACTTGGATATTACAAAATAATAATTCTTCATTAGAATACTTATTTTCGTAATAATACGGATAAA